TCACACACACACACACTCACACACACACACACACACACACACACACACAATTTCAATTGTTATATCTGTTTATCGCCAGCGTTCTTGCTTTAGCTTTAATTGTTTTGAGATTTCAAACATTGTGATAGTCATACAATGAAACTGAACTTGCTTTGATATGTTTAAATGTTAAACATATTTCAATCATTTGATTAGTTAACATGCTAAACTAATACGATAAGACCCTTTCTGTCTTTCTTTCCACCCGATTTCTCCTTTCTACTGGAGCTGTTCTCAGTGTTTTAGCTTTATTGATGATATGTTGAGCTTCAGTGATAATTAAATTATGAAACGTAACTCAATTTGATACATTTAAGTATGTTATACATATTTAAACTATAAGCAGACAAACAGCTTCAGCAGGACATTTGGAGCCATTATTTCAGTTCTTCATTCATTACTTACAGGCTTTCTTTTGGATTAACACTCTTCTTTCCGCCCAATTTCTGCTTTTCTTTCTCTCCTCCGCTTGTCGTTCTTTCCTGTCGTTCTCTCCGGCGGCCAGAACTGGGCTCTTCACGCCGGACATGGCCTTTGAGACCATTGTGAAAAGGCAGATTGGGAAGATTAAAGAGCCGTGCCAGAAATGTGTGGACATGGTCATTTCTGAGCTTGTCAGTACCGTTAGACAGTGTACCAAGAAGGTAAAGGCCTGCTGGAGGCTTTATGTGTCTCCCATCGACCCAAACTAGTGCTGTGAGCCACCTCTGACCCCCGCCAGCCTCTCGCCCGCTCACGGGGCCGCAGGGGTTTGTGGGTGTTGAGCGTTGTGTGTGTTCGTGTGCCTGCAGCTTTGGACAGAGGGACTCTGGGAGGAATGGCTGCATTACGGAGGGCCGCGGATGCTGAGGTTTCACTGCTTGATGAGCGTAGTTCATAATTTGATTGCCATTTCATTTAGATGATTTTGCTCCAAGCAGGTGACAAAAAAACAAATCGGTGAATTTTACAGTTAGAAACGGCAGTTTAGGTTGCTAGAACTTTACCGTAAAATAAAGATTTGTGAGCCTGCAGCACAAAAGCAGTGTTAAGTCGCTGGGGGATATTTGTAGCAATAGCCAACAATACATTGTATGGGTCACAATTATACATTTCTCTTTTATGCCAAAAATCATTAGGATATTAAGATCATGTTCCATGAAGATATTTAGTAAATCTCCTACCGTAAATATATCAAAACTTAATGTTTGATTAGTAATATGCATTGCTAAGAACTTCATTTGAACAACTTTAAAGATGATTTTCTCAATATTTAGATTTTTTTGCACCCTCAGATTCCAGATTTCCAAATATTGTCCGATCCTAACAAACCATACATCAATGGAAAGCTTATTTATTCAGCTTTGAGCCTTGTGACTGGTTTTGTGGTCTAGGGTCACATATTTCATTTACTGTAATAATGTTAATCTGTTTTATATCTTTATAATGTACTGACACCCACCTTAAAACACGTGTGGTAAAAAGAGAAAGCCACACATGGTAGATATTAATAATATCAGACACACAAATAAAAATATCATTATTTTACTTTGAAGCAATTGTCACTCTAAGATCATGTTCCATGAAGATATTTAGTAAATCTCCTACCGTAAATATATCAAAACTTAATGTTTGATTAGTAATATGCATTGCTAAGAACTTCATTTGAACAACTTTAAAGATGATTTTCTCAATATTTAGATTTTTTTGCACCCTCAGATTCCAGATTTCCAAATATTGTCCGATCCTAACAAACCACACATCAATGGAAAGCTTATTTATTCAGCTTTGAGCCTTGTGACTGGTTTTGTGGTCTAGGGTCACATATTTCATTTACTGTAATAATGTTAATCTGTTTTATATCTTTATAATGTACTGACACCCACCTTAAAACACATGTGGTAAAAAGAGAAAGCCACACATGGTAGATATTAATAATATCAGACACACAAATAAAAATATCATTATTTTACTTTGAAGCAATTGTCACTCTGAGATTGCTAGTAAAGTTGATAAACATACAAAGAAACAGCAAGTAACACATTGAATTAAATGTAAAATGTTGATGTAGAAAGACTGAAGTAGTATTTTCTTGTAAAACACACTCCAAAAACCTTTGTTTTATTTACACATTCAAAAAATGTATTCTGTTTAGTTATTATTCTGTTTAGTATTCTGTTAAATTTATTTTTATTTAAATTTCAGTAATTTTGTTGTGCTTTTGTTTTTTTGTATTTCTTCTATTTAATTTTAATTTATTTTTATTTCAATTTCAGTAATTTTATTGCACTTTTGTTTTTTTGTATTCTATTTAGTTTTCATTTATTTTTATTTCAGTTTTAGTAGTTTTGTTATGTACTTTTATGATGTTTTTAATATATATATTTGTTTTAGTTTTTTTTACAATGCATGACAGTAAAATAATGCAATAAACCGTAATTTAACAAATAAGGCAGTAAAAAAATATTTTTCAAAGTTGCAAATAAAACAAAAATGATTGGAGTACATTTCACAAGAAAAAACAATTTTTTTTACTTCTGAATTTCACATTTAATTCAATGTGTTATTTATCTTTTTTGCCATTTCTTCGTGAAACGTACAGTTTGTTTTTACACCATTTTTTTTTTAGTGTACATAACTAGTAAGAGAAACCAAGACGCGTGGGAATGTCCATTTACGGGGTTTCATTGTAAATTATGAGATGGCATTACTATTAATACAGAATGTGCATCCATTGCATATTTTCTCACTGGCCTTAAAGAAAATCCTGAGTTTCGAAATCTTTCCAACATGACCCGAACGCACCATCACTGTAAACCAATTAACAGGGTAGCATTTTTACCGTCGTAGTTGCGATCGTTTCTTACAGCATAGCATCCAAAACCCAACACAGTGCTTCTGTTCTGATGAAGGATGGGCTCGTCCAGCAGACCTCAGCGTCCCAAACCCTCCGTGTTTTAGAGGCAGAGGTTTTGAGGAAGGCTGAGATGCAGCTAAAGGCAGTCCGCTCTCCTGCGAGTGTAATTAGATCAAGCTCTTGGACTGTCTTTGGTTCGCACAGCTGCGTTCTGGAAGCTTCTGTCTCGGGGCTGTTGAATGGCTTGAGGAGAAACCAAACGTCTGACTTGCCCCGATCCTCCTCTGTGCTGTCTGTCTGTCTGTCTGTCTGTCTGTCGTTCTTCTTCCTCTTCCTCCATGACTTCCTCTACAGGACAGGCCTGTTCACCCCCGACCTGGCCTTTGAGGCCATAGTGAAAAAGCAGATCCAAAAGCTAAACGGGCCGTGCCTGAAATGTATAGATATGGTTGTGAGCGAACTGGTCTCCACCATTCGCAAATGTAGTGAGAAGGTAAAGCGGAAAGAAGCTCTGTTCGTCCGCGTCTATCTTAAACGTACGGATAGACCGATGGCTGGACTTGACATGATCTGTGGTTGTGAATGTCGGTGGTGTTTTACCCTGAAGTAGGTGATAATAATATAAAAACAGGGCTTTTACAGTTTAAAGGAATAATTCACACACACAAAAAGATGATTTTGCCATCATTAAACCCGAAACATTAAAGGTGTGTAAATGATGACAGAATTATCGTTTTTGTGTGAAATGCTGCTGCCGTCGTTATGATTTGAGCTTCAGTGCTGCTTCATGATCATAATCATCTTTACATTCTGCGTTTATCTGTTCTCCTCCTTCTGCTTGTCTGGTGCATTGCATTGTGGGATTGCTTTGGCACTGTGACGTTTAGACGTTTGATTGAGGATCAGCTGAAGACGGATGTAATGCTGTGCTTGTCAGCTGTTGTTCAGATTTGTCGAGGAGTCATAAATATTTGTCCCTTGCGTTATAATTATTGTACACTTTTACGTTTTAGAAGCTGTCCATGTGTTGGTTTCAGTATTATTTATATATACTACTATAGTATTTATTAATATTTTGAATTAGCTTTTATTTTATATTTTGTTTTCTTTTTAATTCCAGTTGAAGTTTCAGTAATTTTGTTATGTGCTTTTGTAATTAAAACAATTTTTTAGCTTTAATTTATTTTTGTTTCAGTAATTCTTTGTGATTTTGTTTTTTAAAACTATTTGTATTTCATTTTCAGTTTTAGTAATTATGTTATGTGTTTTTGTATTTTTTAAATATTTATTCTATTTAGCTTTAATTTTTTTTTCAGTTTCAGTAATTTTTTTGTGTGCTTTTTTTATATTTCTTCTATTTAGTTTTAATTTATTTTTATTTTTTATTTTCAGATTTTGTCATTTTATGTCCTTTTGTCGTTTAAAAAAATACATATTTCTTCTATTTAACTTTTTCAGTTTTAGTAAATGTTATGTGCTTTTGTATGTTTTTATATATTTCTTCTATTTAGCTTTAATTTATTAGTTTTTTCAGTTCCAGTAATTTTTTATGTGCTTTTGTAATTAAAAAAATGATTCTATTTAGCTTTATTTTTATTTCAGTTTCAGTAATTTTTTATGTGCTTTTTATTTTTTTAAATATTTATTTTATTTAGTTTTCATTTATTTTTATTTCAGTTTCAGTAATTCTTTGTGCTTTTGTTTTTTAAAACTATTTCTTCTATTTAGCTGTAATGTATTTGTATTTCAGTTTCAGTTTTAGTAATTATGTTATGTGCTTTTGTATTTTTTTGTATTTTTTTAAAATATATTTCTTCTATTTAGCTTTAATTTTTTTATTTCAGTTCCAGTAATTTTTTATGTGCTTTTTATTTTTTTAGTATTTCTTCTATTTAGTTTTAATTTATTTGTATTTAGTCATTTTATGTCCTTTAAAAAAAAAAAAAAATTTCTTCTATTTAACTTCATTTTCAGTTCTAGTCATTTTGTTATGTGCTTCTGTATTTTTTTTTATATTTCTTCTATTTACAGTAGCTTTAATTTATTTTTAGTAATTTTAGTACCTCAGCTTAAACTTATTTTAAGTCTGTTGCCAAGGCAATATTTATAATTGTCCTAATTTAATTTGATTTAATTCCAGCTTTATTTCATTTAGCCTAACAAAAACAATTTTTAATAGTTTTAATTTTAGTTAACAAACACAACACTGCTGTGCACACTTCACATGCAGTACAAGTGCTAATCCGGTCACGTTGCAAACACAGTCTGTTTAAATCAGCTTCAGGACGCTGTCTAGCAGTGTCTGTAACAAGAATAGAGTGCATATCAAAACATGTCCAGGTCATATTTAACCTGAATTGTTTTGTTGTTATTGCATAAAGATGGCTCTCTTTTTTTGATTTGAGAGAGTGTGCTCTCTGAAGATCAGATATCATTACACTAGGGATCTACAGTATCGTCTGTTTAGGGATCGAGCCATATTTTCTTCTCAGATTTTGCTCATGTAAATGTAGAATAGATCCATCAGTCCAGCAACTATCGGTCTATCCTTACCACTCAGTTTTCATCCTGCTTTATTTTGTCTGTGTTCATTTAATTTACTAAGTACTAGTGCTGGGCGGTATACCGGTTCATACTGAATACCGCTGTTTATTTTTGTTATGATATGAATTTTTAAAATACCGCAATACGTATGTCACTTAAACAACGTTGGGAACGCGCCACTGTTTGAAAGGGGTCTCTTTTCACTGTTGCACTGTGGTGAGGGAACAGCTGTATGTGTTACTAAGCGTGAAAGTTCAGAAACTGAAGCTGTAGAACTAATAGAACGTGATGACACAGAAGAACTCATCCACAATATCCACACTGACCTCCACAAATATCCAGCGCCCCCCTGACATCAGCTCCCGCGTCTCACACACACGCAAGCGTGACTTCAGCACTAGATTCAGCAACTTTCAGACCCTTTCAGCGGCTTTCTTCCAGAGAATATTCATACTGATAAACCTAGAGACTTTTCTGGAGAAAGCTTAGCTATGGTTCAGTTGGAGGATTTCTCCAGTGCTGTCCCGCGAGCGCGAGGTCTGACTTTCCTGGAGAAGTGTCGCCTCTCTCGGCATCTGTTCTGTGCAGTGAGCGGCAGAGAAGCACTGCAGCCGACTCCTCGATAAATGTGTAACAGTTGTGCGAGAGTCAATGTAATGGAAAGGGGGACCTCTGGTGGTGAATAAACGGAAGTCCATGGACCGAATTCGTGACAAAATGAGTACAAAACAGCGTTTCCTAGCACCTGTCGCTTACTAATCGTTTGGAATTATAAATATGAGCGTAGTTCGTCTGTTAATATCACATGCACTTTTTTGTTTGTTGTTGTTTTTAGTTTGTTACTCAGACGCAGGCAGTGCGCTGCATGAGACAAAAGAGTAATCTAGCCAAAACCACCGCATAGCCGCTCTTTAGTGTAGATGCATGCTGATTTTATCAGACGATGCTGTGATTATAAATGAGAGTGACTCCTGGTTAATGTATTAAAAGGGGTCGTGTTTAGTCACTATTTAGTGTGGTATTTTTTGACAATCATGACAATAAAATAGGGCATTCTGAGTCAATATACTGCAGTATTTCCTCTCGTCTCAATCAGTAGAAAACATGGTTAACACCCGCTCATGCATGAAAACAAAATACCGTCATGTACCGTGAAATCGGTATAATTTTGAAAAACACCGTGATATAAATGTTTGGTCATACCGCCCAGCACTACTAAGTACTTGTGTCCTTCTTTACAGAACCGTAGAGATTTTATCCAAAGTCCCCGGTTTTAGTTTTGTTTTAATGACGCATGCTCCCTCGTGTGGCGTTCTCTCAGTTATTGTTGGTTCTGTCAGTGTGTGTGTGTTCGTTCTGGCGTGAGAATAACGTCATTGTGGCTCGTCTCTTCTGTTTGACTCTCATGGAATAACTGATGCTTCAGGCTGGAAGATCTTCTTACACCAGCAGACTAACCGTCACACCAGAACATCTCTGTGTCTCTCTTTCTCTCCTCTTTCATCATTTCATCATCCCTCCAACATCTTATTCTGCCGGTCTAAAAAACAGAAGTTAAAGAAAAAGCTCATCCAGAAAAATGTACTCCCCTTCACCTTCCAAACTCTTGTATTGTTGTTTTTTCCTTAAAGCACAAAAGGAGATTTTCAAGCTCCAAAATAGAGCTCATAAAAGCACCATATATGTAAGATGACAATCGTATGACGCTTTGCGTGAGGAACAAATGATTTGCTTCAGATTGAAGCTTACTCAAACGTTGCACTCATGCATCATTACAACTCGATTCACGAATGAGGAAAACACAATAATCCAGTCAATTTTATGTCGTTTTTGGAGCTTGACAGAACTCAAAAAGAGCCGCATGATGACTTTTCAAGAATTCTCCTTTTGTGTTAGGAAAAAATGAGCATCGTACGTGTTTGGGACGACACAAAGGCGAGTACATGAAGTGTGGACTGTCAGTAATGTCATCCGAGTTGATTCGGTTGTATTGTATGATATAAACGGATGCAGCATGTGCTGAGGCTGTGTGAATCCGCCTCTATTCTCAGTAACCTTCATCTCCTTCGTTTCGCCTGTAGCTCCTCTAGAAACACTCATTTCTACTGCTCCCTGCTCATGTGATGTTTGACTGCGAGACGCCATCAGTGCATCCCTGAGTCTGAGGCACAGCAAGCCCAAATACTCTGCTGGTGTAGTGGTGTGTGTGTGTGTGTGTGTGTGTGTGTGTGTGTGTGTGTGTGAGATTCCACACTGACTACAAGTTCCAATGCATCAGCTGGTCATACAGACATTTAGATTAGAAGTAAAAGGAAGTCCCAACAGACTAAAAAGAAAAAAAAAGAATTAGGTACAGCATATTTGATCTCTGTTCTTCAAACTGGTGATATGTTTTTATGTCTTTATTTTCTGCCTGTACCTTTAAGCCCTTTTGGGTTGAGTTTTTGGGGTAGTTTTTTTCTCTACTTATTTATTTTAAAATCGTTCTGTTCAATTATTATTACTCCGGTGTGAGTTTTCGTTTCATGCATGTTTGTTATAATGCAAGATTTACGTGTTTGCATTTTAAAAACGTGTAGTTACAAATGATCCTTTGCTGAAATTCCGAATCCTAGCGCATGTTGCAAATATTACAGTATTCAACATCAACAGTTGACTCATTACTAATACCCTTGAGTACGATTCATGTGCACAACTCCTGGATTTGGCTCAATTATGGGACACTGCAAAGCTAAGAGGGTCACCAATATTAAGTATTTTAACTACAGTGATGCACTGAAATTTAGAGTCATGCATGTATGCATGCAAACCAGTTTCTTAGTGTCAGCTCGTTTTCTGTTCACATGCATAAATAATGTAAGATTATGTTTAATAGTGTGTTGATGCTGTAGACTTTGCAACAGGTTTTCTTTCAAAAACGGTTCCTTGGTTGTTTATGCCTACTGTAGTAGCATCCTGTTGCAAACTCTGGTGTGTGTTGGGGATACGGGTGAGTGTATGGTGTTTGGCATCACAAGCGCGTGTGATTGTGTCACAGCTGGCGCAGTATCCCATGCTGAGAGAGGAGATGGAGCGGATCGTCACGCAGCACATCCGCGACCGCGAGAGCCGCACTAAACAACAGGTGAGCCGCGTCACGTCTAATATAAACCTCTTTTAAACAGCTCTTCATTTCATCATTTCCTCTTTGTGGTCGTCAGGTGCTGCTGCTGATCGACATCGAGCTGGCGTATATGAACACCAACCATGAAGACTTCATCGGATTTGCCAAGTGAGTAACGTTTCCTCGACCTTTAACCCCAAATGACTCAATATAGTGCCACAATTATTAACCCTAATCATACAAAGGGATCAAAACGAGCATAAAAATCAAATATTAAACTATATAATTAATTAAAATGAATAATAAATAAATAATAATATAAAATCAAAAATTTAAATAGTATTAAAAACGATGATAATATAATATGTATGCAATAAAAATATTAGAAATTATAACATTATTACTAGCCAAGCGATTAATGGTTCACTGGACATCAAGTGACCAAACACAGTGCCACAATTATTATTATAATAACAAGAGTAATAATAATAATAATGATAGCTAAAAATGTTACTGTTAATATTAATTATAAATAATCATAAATAAATAGTAATATAAAATACTTATTACTTATTACTAATATTACTAACATTAAATTATATTCATTATAAATAATATATAATGTAATTAATTAATAAGTATTATTATTATTATCATTAGTATTATCACTAACATTAAACTGTTAATATTAATTATAAATATAAAAATATATTTAAAAATAATAATAATTATATAATTATTATTACTAACATTAAATGATATTAATATTATTTATAAATAATAAATATTTAATATTAAATAATTGTTATTATGTTTATATTATAAATAGTATTATTACTAACATTAAACTGGTAATATTCATTATAAATAATGCTATTAATATTAAATAAATAAATAATAATTTTAAAAATAATAATAAGTATTATTAGTATTATTACTAACATTAAATGATATTAATTAGAAATAGTAATAAATATAATATAAAAATACAATTATTATTTATAATTAATATTAATATATACCCAATGACATTCATGCATTTTAAGTACTCTTTTGTATGTACTGTATATAACAGATTTTAAGCTGATTGAAGTTCAACTCTGTCCTGTATAGTGCTCAACAGAGAAGCAGTCAGATGAACAAGAAGAAAGCGGCTGGTAACCAGGTGAAGGGGGTTGAATTACAGTTTATATTCATAATTTCAAGACGATATTAATTTCTCTGTGCATGCTGAATCACGTCATGTGTTGAATGTTAAACGTGCTCATCTGATGTGTGTCCAGCGTCTGCCTTTCTCTGTTCCTCATCTGTGTTTCTTATTCTTTATCTTCATGCCCTTATCAACTGATCCAGGGCCAGGTTTGTTCTCATGCTTCTCTCAGTTCACATACAAGCGTTAGCTCAGAACTGATCTTAGATCAGGCGTCTCAGGAGCGTTCCGGGTTCAGTCTAGATCATCAGCATTTCAATATAACTTTAACTGAAAGCTGAGAAGACGGAGAGATGTTCTGCTTCACTTAAATCAGTTGTTAAGGGCAGCGAGTGACAGCGTGATGTGTGTTCATGTGTGTAAAGTCCTGTTCTGTTCACACACACATTATACGACCGTAGCACGAGGCAGATGCAGACCTTCACTTCTACAGAGGGAGACTCACATAATCAGTGTATTGATCTATAGAAGTGCTTTTTGATGTTTTTGAAGACATGAGCCCCAGCAGATGCTTGTTAGGTGGAGGAGATCAATGCAGAATAGTGCAAAAATAGAGTATTAAATGCAAATACGGGGTGTAAACCGGACGTTTCATCACAACACAATATGACATCAGTTCTCTTAGATATTGATAAGATATTTGCTGATATCACAAAACATGCCGCGATACAATTATGATTCAGTGCGTATCGATATTACAATATTACGTGCCTGTTTTACACAGTTACATTTTATTAATTCACAAATGCAACCAAAATATATACTGTGAACTTTTAATGGAACTCTCTGACATGACGTGGGTTTTTGTCTATCGGTGCATTTTTTTTATTAAAAGCGAAATACTTCTAAACTCATGATTTGTGTCTGACAGGAGAGGACACGGTCTGTTTACCTGCGCCAGTCCCTCACTAAATTCATAATTTAGCACAGTTTTAGCATTGGCAGAATATAAAATGGGTCAAATATATTACAATACAAGCATTTCAGTCAAATACAATTTGTGTAATATTTCAAACTTTAACTTGTTGGAAAAAAAACAATCCGTGGCTACATTTTAAAAGGAACCCAATTCCACGGAAAATCTGCAGACTTTGCAACCCTGTTCATAGTGAACCCCATCATTTGTTTTAGCTGCCTGTTTTTTCTGTTTTCAATACTGATATGTTCTCTTTTCCTGTTCTGTGTTTCTCTTGGTTTACTCCGGTGCATCAGGATGAAATCATGGTAAGTAGTCTGTGTGTTTCCTAAGGCATACGTGTTGATCACAGTAATTAAGCTCTCCTCATGAAGACTGCACTCAGATCAGACATGTGAAACCGTGATGCATGTCTAGTCTACATCTGTGTCTGTATGCAGCGGTTGCATAAGACACTTTCACTGCACAAGCAAACTCATGAAACCCTGAAGCCGTAGCATCACTGAAGACGTCAGTCAGGCATAGTGACTGTATAGTGTGCACTACAGAGGGTTTGCTTTTTATCTTCATGCCACAAGCGTGTTCTGTATTTAAGTCCAAACACTCATTCACTGCAGTATTTCATGCAGCTTTTCTGCTCTTTCAGTGTTAAAGGGATAGTTCACCCAAAAATGAAAAGTACCCCATGATTTACTCACCCTCAAGGCATCCTAGGTGTTTATGACCTTCTTCTTTCAGACGAATACAATCAGAGTTATATTAAAAAATATCCTGGCTCTTCCAAGCTTTATAATGGCAGTGAATGGGTGTTATTTTTCAGTAGTCCAAAAGAAGTCCAATAAAGTGCATCCATCCCTCATAAAAAGTGTCTCACGCGGCTCACGGAGTGAATAAAGGCCTCCTGAAGCGAATCGATGTGTTTTTGTAAGAAAATATTCATATTTAAAATGTTATAAACAGCAATCTCTAGCTTCCGCTGACTGTCGTACGCGCGTTCATTCCGGCGGATGACGTAGGCATAGCGTAAGATCTGGAGAGAAGTGACGAATGCGGAAGCGCAGCGGAGAGAGCAAAACAAAACACTGGTCACGAAAGAAAAATGTGGGAGGATTTGGATATAAGCCGAGAGGAGACTGGTTTTCCTTTGCTAAAGTAAAGAAACTTTGCTTCTTTTGCTCCTGTAAACAAACGTCGGTTCTCACGAGACGAGCATATTCTCACCGGAGCTTACGCTACGCCTACGTCATCTGCCAAAATGAACGTGCATACGACAGTCAGCGGAAGATAGAGATTACGGTTTATAATGTTTTAAATATGGATATGTTTCTTACACAAACGCATCGATTCGCTTCAGGAGGCCTTTATTCACTCCCGGAGCCGTGTGAGACACTTTTTATGATGGATGGATGCTCTTTATTGGACTTCTTTTGGAAAATAACACCCATTCACTGCCATTATAAAGCTTGGAAGAGCCAGGATATTATTAAATATAACTCCGGTTGTATTCGTCTGAAAGAAGAAAGTCAAACACACCTAGGATGCCTTGAGGGTGAGTAAATCATGGGCTAATTTTCATTTTTGGGTGAACTATCGCTTTAAGATGAGATAAACCTGTCAAGAACACGTCTGGCCATATTTCACCCCAAAATCAAAAGAATTATATTTATATACAAAATTATATTTTGTACAAAGAAAAAAATATTTTAAGGCTATTTAAAATTGAAAATGGCATGAAAGTAAAAACAGCAGAAAACTAACATGAATACAAAGAACTTGCTCTATGCGTTTAAAACTAGATTTTTCTTTTTCATTGTCATTGAACCTGTTTTACTCAACAACAGTTCATTGTAATTAACAGAAGAGAAAATAAAATACAGATTATAATTCATATTATATCACAATTTGTATTATAACTTTTTAAGTGCTCACTTCAAGGAGAAGAGCCTGATTTGTTTGCTAAATTTCTGTGGTTTCTAGTGATGTATTTATTTATCTGTCCACTTGAGGCAGAAGCGAGTCAGTACAGTACAGTAATCCAGAAGTACATTTACATGCATGTCAGTCGCACGCACGCACACACACACACACACACACACACACACTCACGCTCGCACACACACACACTCACTCACTCACTCACTCACTCACTCACACACTCACTCTCTCTTTCACACACACACACACACACACTCACACTCACGCACGCACACACACACACACACACACACACTCACGCTCGCACACACACACACTCACTCACTCACTCACTCACTCACTCACACACTCACTCTCTCTTTCACACACACACACACACACACACACCCTCTCTCTCTCTCACACACACACACACACACACTCACACACACACACACACACACACTCTCTCTCTCTCTCTCTCTCACACGCACACACACGCTCACGCTCACACACACACATACACACACTCACTCACTCACACACTCACTCTCTCTTTCACACACACACACACACACACACACACACTCTCTCTCTCTCTCTCTCACACGCACAC